GACTGCTGTTGGGATTTAGGGCTATACAAATGAAAGGATTGAATTGAATTGGAATTTAATATTGTGATTTTTACGTTGAATCTATATTTCACCTTCTTTAAGTAATCTAGTCAATTGTATGTTGTAGCACATCCTCAAGATCTTGGTTCAGAGAGAAAATAACAAATAATGCATCATTCTTAAAAAACAAATGCCTGACTAGTGCCTTGTACCTTCAAATTGTTTCATTTACAAAGAGAATTGGCTATTTTGGTTGAAAATGTACTGAAATGGCCATTATGAACATATTTTTTCAAAACATTTTCTCATAATAAAAATATTTGTCCTTTGGCTACATATACATTTAGTCTGAAGTCCCTCTCCACTTCTAATGATTCTGCAGTATAATTAGTCATTTTGTCCTTGGTCCAACCCTAACCTTTCTAACTAAAATAATATAATCATACAGCGTTTGTGTTTATTGAACAACGGCTCTGTCCCGCTGTCCAGCAGAATAACCATGTCGAGTTTTTTCAGTTCAATTATGTCCCACATCTGAGCCTCCTCCCAGCTTCATCAAAAACAGCTTGGCACAAATAAGTTTATTAAATGTGCGCAGCTGTCTCAAAGCAGAACTCTGGAGAGATGTTAGTTTTGTGTCTGCATGAAAAAAAAAAGATCAGAATTGAAAATGAAATGTAATGTGAGGAAATGGCGAGGCGGAGGTCAGGGCTGAGAGACAGAGATAGACTATTCTGGCTTTTGTGGGAAGAAAACAAATTAACCATTTGATATCAAACAGTTATGTTCTTTATTGTTAGCTCTAAGTTTGAATATTTGGGCTTTTAATTCATCCATGTTCAATCTTTTGAGGAAAAACTGTGTGTCCTGGTTTTGAATGACAAACACTGCAATTGTAAAGAGAATCAATGTGTATTTGGAGGAAGAATCTGTAATCGATTTAGAGAGGATATGTGGTTTTCTAACTTGAAATACTTACTCAATTCTTACTTTCATTCAATCAGGAGAGTGTGCTTATAAACGTGTCTGGTCTGCAGGTCTTCATCGTGTTAGAAAACGTGTTATCCTTTGAAAACTTGTTTAAAAAAAGAGCCTGCGAGTCACTATTGGATGCTTTAGGCTGAGAACTGATTGTGGTTATTCCTCTCTTGTTAGCTTTTCTGTCTGAAAAAGCTAAACATTTGATGGGCGCCAAATGTACATGCATGCCAAACTTGTGAAAGAACCAAACTCGACATTTTTTTACAAAGTTACAATTTGTCTGAAAGTTAGGTACCCCAGCTTTTAAAGTAAACTGAACTAAACCACTGGAACGACGATTGGATTATGCACTGTTTTGCAGCCTGCACTGAGGTGACTTGCATGTTTGCATACGCCGCTAACCACACGAGCCGTGCCAAGCGCTCCTGGCCTTTTCAAACAGACACGATCTCTGCAAAACTCACACAACAACAAGACACGCAAAGAAAAAAAGTGTGAGAATCAGCAAGGTGGAACATTTCTGTGGCGGTACACTACATATATATACGGCGTACACCAGGCTGCACGACTTAAGAAGGAAAAGCAGAGAAACTTGTAATCTCCGCTCACAGCCTTTGAACTTGGCCCCGATGAGAGGCAGGCGACCCAAAGCAAAAGGTTTCCAAAGAGGAGCTCACTGAAGATTACTCGGAATACTGATGCACTGTGGAATCCAATCCTCCGGGAGCCAGGGGGGGGGGACTTTGTGAGAGAGTAACTTATCAGCGTAGCACGGCGACACACAGGCCTACTTGTGGGTGAACTCTGCGCCCACAAGACCGACTTTAAAAGAGACATTTTAAAACAGCAGATGTGTTTGTGAATGCAGCCAATTTAGAGCATCAGTGCCTCAGTGTGCGACTATGCCACAATAAATGAGGCCTAGGGTCTCTTAGGTTCTAATTAGGGCAGCTGTTGTGTGCCTATGCATGTGCGCTATAGGGACAGCACGAGATACAATTCAAACGAGACCAGATGAAACACGAGATTGGGACCACGAGACGAGATTTCAAAGGCTGCGTTGTTTGTATCAGGCATAAAAAAAAGTATTACTCTAACCTTTCACAATGCCCCAAGCACTACAGTTCATTGTTTATTCACTCCTCACACATTGGTAAGTCTGTGTTGTATAGCCGCAGCTGCCCTGAGGTAGACTGAGAGAAAAGAGGCTGCCAATCAGCGCCAACTGATTCAATACTGGACAGTCCTGCTGTAAATGTAAAGTATTGTATTTTGAATTGTAAACAATACTTCTTCCATTGGCAAGCCTTGTTTCAATACAGCCAAAATGTACTACATTCAAAACATATTATGTCACTTTTTTGAGCTATTAACCATGTTTCAGCATTGTTCCCGCATCAGTAACAGGCATGCACGCACATGTAATTCCGGTCTAAGTCCTGTCATTGTACTACTATAAAATCACACACAGAAGTTGTTCTGCCCTGTAAAACTAGGCAAAACTTGCCGTAGATTTTGCAGGGTGAAATCATTCTTTGCAAATACATGTGTGCTTTTGCAGCTGGTCATTTTCACATTCCGATCCAAACCAACACATTCAACACCTCCCTCTGGTGGTAGCATATGGAGTTACAGGCAAGACACATTTTCCTTGATTCTTGTCTCACCATATTATTTCAACCTAAGATATAATTTACCCTTTTCTCTAAAACATGGACAAAGGCAAAGATCATGACAAAGTAAATAGTCCCATTATCACTTTTAATGACCAAAAAATAACGTGTAATATTTCTTTGTTAATTCAAGCCACTTTCCACAGTGTGTATGTGTGTTGGTCTGTGTGTGTGGATGGGTGTGTGCGTGTTTGAATTAGGAACATCCAGCTGTTGTGGTGCAATGGGAGCAGAGGTCCACCAGTGTCAGCCTCCACCCCCACTGCTCTCAGCAACGACAAAACCATTTGCAGCCGCCACTAAAAGGTGAAGCAAATGGTAAGAGTGCAATGTGTGTGTTTGCTTTTGTGCCTGAGAAAGTGCTTGTAGTTAAAAAAAAAAAAACACACACAAAAAAAGCAAAAGCGCCAGGCGGTCTAAAACAATCACACATACATTATTCCTTCTTATTGTCTCCCCCACTCTCTGCTTTCAATGTGAATCATCGCTGGTTTATTTTTGCTTTCTGATCACTTAGCAGGCTTGGCATTAATTGCTTTTATTTTTCCAACAGGGCATTTGCAGCTCTAAATTATGCAGCTTGATTAAAACAGCCGCTCCAAAGCTTGGCTCTTTATTGTGGGCTTCTTTCTACACTTAATAAATATGCTTGTGAAATCTGGCTAACCTAGTGATCACTGTACTGTTTGCTCACACCAAGTCTATCCAACTTTATGATTTTAATCTTTTTGAATGGTCATGTCTTCTGCATAGACCAGAGAATGCATTTAATAGAGTTTGGGGGTGGTAACAAAGATCTTATATTACTCATACACATCATCCAAGCCCCATATGCTGTATTGAAAAAAATGGACAAGCAAGACAGAAAAACAGACTTAAAGCTGGGGTATGTAACTTTCAAAGCACCAAAAAAGTATCTCTCTAATACAATCCATGTCACTCCTGGCTCTAAAGTCCTAAAGGGACTGAAAAACAAGGTCTATCGCTAGTTTTCACATAAATAGTATTTTGGGGTTTGTCACATCTTTAGACCAGTTTTTTTTAAGACATAAAAGTGAAAAAGAGTGACTCAAAGAGTGACTCACAGTCACTTACGTATGCATTTACTTATGCATTTACGTATGACTATTTCTGATTAACTGCAAAAAGTGATAAAATATGAAGCAATACATTCTTAATTTGAGTACATTCTGTCTGTCTTAAAGCAAGATTTCCCGATGGGACAAAGCCATTTAGTCTAATTTCAAGAACTGTAGCTTTATTTTCTCATTCCAAGACAAACATTTACTGTATCTTTTTAAAACAAGATCATTTTGCTTGTCTCAATGGCAAATCTTGTTTTAAAGCAGTCCAAATGTGCTCCAACTAAGACACCTTTTGCCACATTCGAGCCATTGTAGCAGTGTGGAACAAACAACAATTCATATGAATGGTGAAACAAACAAGTTAGGTATAGTCCAGCTTTAAAGGATGTCTAAAAGCAGTACACAATACACTATAGAATACATTACAACCCTTTCCTTTTTAAACAGTTAATCCCAGTGTAAAGAAACGGATTGAGAGCAGGGGACAGGTGCGCCAAAGTCCAGGAACGCAAACAATAGAAAAGTCCTATCCCCTTTCTCTCTGTTTTGACTCAGCCACCACCATGCCCGCCAGCAACAACTCACCCCAGCACAGGCACACAGCTCTTTACGCACAGAGCCCACTCATCACGACAGCGCTGGACCAAGCACCGTAGAACAATATCTAGCACTATAAACAGCATTTACTATAATTTACGTCTGTTTGGGTTCGCCACAAGCCTTGCATTTGGCCATACGTTCCAACAGTAAGCCTTTATATATGAATGGGAGACGCAGCAAAAGTCGCGCTTGAGACTGCGATCCCCTCATCCCGTGGTGATGCTCAACAGTTTAAGCATGTTACAAAAAAGCGCGTTTGGATCTGCTTTGAGTCCGTCACAATCACCCTGCCTGGGTAGAGTCGTTAAAACTGCACAAAAACTGCGATTGTTCATTTTTGTATCGCAACTTTTGCTTTACGCACTGTATGGCATGGAGTATGGTTTGACATCGCGAGTGGAATCTTTCCCCATTTAATCTGCCTCTTCATCTTATAACGCCTCTGTACTAAAACACTACTTTTGAAACCATTTCCAAAGTAATAAAACACAACCATGCTCAGATTCCAGCCGGAGAACAGGCAATGCACCATCCACACCATCTCCGTCTTGACGCAGCGCACTGGAGTGGAGTGGACAGCATTGCACCTGCCTGTGTGTGCATACATCCACACTGACTTAATAAATAAATAAATACAATAATAACAGGATAAAACACGCACCTGTGGCCATAAGGCAGAAAATAATGTACAGCGTGAACATGCTGGGTGATAATGCGGTCGCTCCTGGACTTGTGGAAGGCTTCGCTCCTCGCTCCACTGCGACTGTGCTGCCGGGGTCCACCGCTGCTGCTGCTGCTGCTGCTGCTGCTGCTGCTTTCATTCACAAGCAAAGATACAGTCTATAGTACAATCCAGTGTATAAAAAACAAAAAAACAAATATAAAAAGAAGTCTCCAGTGGGCGCTTGGGCACAAAAACGCTATTAATACATCCCCATACTTTTTTGTTGTTGGTAACTTTCCCTCGGCTTAAATAACGTCCACTTTGGAATGAGCGTGCGTGTATAGTGTGAGATCCGAGCAGCGGTGGTGTCTCGTCTATCCACAGTGTGCGCGCAGCTTGCTCTCTCTCTCTCTTTCTCTCTTGCTCTTCCTCTCTTCACAAGGCTCCAATGGATTCTGGCACAGGCTGAATCAGTGAAGCCCCTCTGTCTCTCATGCGTCAGGCAAAGCAGCGACCCCCCCCCTCATTCTCTCCCTCCCTCTCTTCCAGCGCGCTCCCACCATTGGCTGAGTGTGTCACAGGGAGGGCATTTAAAACACTTTTTTTCAGTGTGTGTGTGTGTGTGTGTGTGTGTGTGGACTTAAATGGAACTCGGTGAAAAGGAGGGTTTTCCCAGGGCAAACGCATCAACAAAGGTGTGATGTGATGATGGGCACGAGTGGTCTGGGGCCTGCGGTGCTTTGTTGGTATTGTCACCATACTGTTACCACTGTGCTGCAGTATGGTGTTGGAAAAGCTGTTTTGGCGTGTGTACGTGAAGTGCGCACAGGGCCGGATCTAGATTTGTGGTGTTCGCAAGCAAGATTGTGATTGTGGGGCCCCTGAATGTAAAACAAAACAAAACATGATAATAATAAAGACAAGAAATTAAAAGTCTCATGTGGATTGGGATTTGACAATTTTCTTTGTTTAAAAGATACACCTGTATGAAGTAAGTACAAGTGTAGTTTACAAGTAAGTGTAAAACAAGATTTGGGTCTAATCCAGGACAAAACAAGGGCCTTGTTTATGCATCTGTATCAGTTATATTATTTATCTTACTGTTGTGCGTAAACAACACTGCTCAGTTATATCATGTTCATGTTCCTTATCAAGCACCAACCAAATCATTTCCAGGTTGTTTTTTCATTGAAACTTTCATGGAGACTTTGTATACATATGCATGCTTTTTAAATAAAGTCTTATTTATTGACTACACTTCCAATTGTGGTAAATAGAATGTGTGTATATGGTCAACTACTAGCTACTGTTGCCCTGGGACCGAGTAATGGAAGACGAATAGCGTGTGCCATTGGACCCTCTAACCATCATCAATCATTCAACAAATTCAGCTTCAGATTGTGGGTGATGTTTACAAAAAAATATATTATTATTATCATTTGAGACAGTACATGTTAAGGCACACACCTCTCCGGATTGTAGCCCTGGGTTCAACTACATTTGATGTCGCACACAAAAACAAACCCTCATTCACCCTGATTTATTGCACATGTTTTTTAGTGATAGTGGAAACTGCAGCAACCCGAGGAAACCTATTCAAACACCGGAGAACAAGCAAACTGGCCCCGTTTGGAGGTGGAATAGAACCCCGGAGTTTCTTACTGTGAAGCGCAATCACTCACCACTGTGCCACCTTTCATGCCATCTCCCATCCCTGTACTAACCAGGCCTCACACTGCTTAGCTTCGAAGATGGGATGGGAGGAGGCTGTGACATGTGGGCCTCAACAATAGCTTAGTTCAGTGTATCATGGAACAGGGGTTTAACGAACTGTGGAAGTTTATATTCATCTGCACAATATGTGAAAAGAGTTTACATGCACTAAGAGCCCAGATTATTCCAGTCTAGATGCTTGCGTCAAGAAGGACATCTGGTGTCAAACCTATGCCAATTCATTATGCTAATCGCTACATGGAAATCTGAATATAGACACAGTATAAAACAACACATTTCACAGCATTTGGAGCAAGGAAGTATTTTTTTCTAAAACATAATTCATTATCATTAGATACTATGGGACATGCTACACGACTTGGCTTCTCCCACAGTCTGCTCAAAACGCTTTTCTAAGTATACATGCAGACTCAGACCTCTCTTGTCTCAGTATACATGCAGACTCAGACCTCTCTTGTCTCAGTATACATGCAGGCTCAGACCTCTCTTGTCTCAGTATACATATAGACTCAGACCTCTCTTGTCTCAGTATACATGCAGACTCAGACCTCTCTTGTCTCAGTATACATGCAGGCTCAGACCTTTCTTGTCTCAGTATACATGCAGGCTCAGACCTTTCTTGTCTCAGTATACATGCAGGCTCGGACCTCTCTTGTCTCAGTATACATGCAGGCTCAGACCTCTGTCTCAGTATACATGCAGGCTCAGACCTCTCTTGTCTCAGTATACATGCAGGCTCAGACCACTGTTGTCTCAGTATACATGCAGGCTCAGACCTTTCTTGTCTCAGTATACATATAGACTCAGACCTCTCTTGTATCAGTATACATGCGGGCTCAGAGCTCTCTTGTATCAGTATACATGCAGACTCAGACCTCTGTCTCAGTATACATGCAGGCTCAGACCTTTCTTGTCTCAGTATACATATAGACTCAGACCTCTCTTGTCTCAGTATACATGCGGGCTCAGAGCTCTCTTGTATCAGTATACATGCAGACTCAGACCTCTGTCTCAGTATACATGCAGGCTCAGACCTCTCTTGTCTCAGTATACATGCAGGCTCGGACCTCTCTTGTCTCAGTATACATGCAGGCTCGGACCTCTCTTGTCTCAGTATACATGCAAGCTCGGACCTCTCTTGTCTCATTATACATGCAGAGTCAGACCTCTCTTGTCTCAGTATACATGCAGGCTCAAACCTCTCTTGTTTCAGTATACATGCAGGCTCAGACCTCTCTTGTCTCAGTATACATGCAGACTCAGACCACTCTTGTCTCAGTATACATGCAGGCTCAGACCACTCTTGTCTCAGTATACATGCAGGCTCAGACTACTCTTGTCTCAGTATACATGCAGGCTCAGACCTCTCTTGTCTCAGTATACATGCAGGCTCAGACCTCTCTTGTCTCAGTATACATATAGACTCAGACCTCTCTTGTCTCAGTATACATGCAGACCACTCTTGTCTCAGTATACATGCAGACTCAGACCACTCTTGTCTCAGTATACATGCAGGCTCAGACTACTCTTGTCTCAGTATACATGCAGGCTCAGACCACTCTTGTCTCAGTATACATGCAGGCTCGGACCTCTCTCGTCACAGTATAGATGCAAGCTTGGACCTCTTTTGTTTTAGTATACAGTACATGGCAAGTGCAATACTCAATTGTGTAAGGCGTATTTTTTGACACTCTCAGAGGTGTCTTAAAACTTTCTTATTTATCTTTATATAACCAGGATGTCCCATTAAGATTAAGAATGTTTTTTTTCAAGAGGGACTAAGACCAAGGTAACAGCCAACACTGCCAACTACTCAACAATACATAGAATTCTGTGTCAATAAAAATAAAAAAATCCATTATGAATGTATCTCTCAGGAAAAACATACACATGTCTCACCACACACAAACAATCTTGACTTTATCCTATGACACAAAGGATTCTGATTTGAGGTCTTTTTGTACAATTTTCCACATCTGAGCAAACTTTGGAGCTGTGATTTACTAACAAAGATGACTATCACATTATTTTGAACAATAGTGCTCTGATGGGAGCAGTGTTGGGTGTAACGCGTTACTAAGTAACGCGTTACTGTAACGAAATTACAATTTGAGTAACGTAGTAGTGTAACGCGTTATTATGAAAATACGTTTCATTATATTACAGTTACTACCTAAATACTTCGTTACCGGCGGCACCGGCCTCGGGAAAGCAGGGGAGAACTGCACTACCGCTCCATGCGTGCCTGCGTGCTTACGTCACGCTGCGCACATGAGCGAGATTGTTTGTAAAGCAACATGGCAGAGTCAGAGGAGAAGAGTTCTTTTTACCGGTGGAGATATGCACACTATTTCAACTACATCAGTCAAAAAGATAAAAACGTTGTCGTGGAGTGCAAGCTTTGCGCGGGCAGCAAGCGATTGTCCACCGCAGCCAACTCATCCTCGAACCTTTTAAAACACTTGCAGCGTCAACACTCAACTGTTAAGCTAGTCGCTAAAGAGCGTCGCAGCGAAGCCGCCGCCGCCTCCTCCTCCTCCTCCTCCGACAGCACAACACCAACACGATATAATAAGCAAGCTCGACTTGAATTACGCTGTCAGGTAACCTCAAAGACTGAAATAAATAGACTTGTAGCGGCGTACGTTGTAGAAGAGATGCTGCCCGTTTCTACTGTAGAGTCGCCGTCTTTCAGAAACTCCAAGAAGGAATAGGTTGTCAGCTAAACGATTTGAGAAACTATTGCTACTCAGGTACAACCATTACTTTGAAAAACAACAACATTAGAGTTAGTTGTTAAACAGTTAAACTGTTACTTTCTGCACTTTTGATATGTTAAAATGAAACTCAGGTTGTTGTTGTTTAAATAGTTTTATTTTATTATTTAAAAATGTTTTTTTTGCACTACCAGCCAGTAGTCTTGATGACTAAACTGCCTTAATTTAATTGTCCTGGCTGCTATAGTAATTTACTTTCGTTAATGTTATGCCATTTGAGCCAGTTTTGATTTGTTGTTGACCTTTATTTAAATGGCTTTAATAAAGCAAACATACAAACTTGATTCTGTTCTCTTTTTTGTGACACGAAGTAATCCAAAAGTAATGTAACTTAGTTACTTTCTTGGGGCTGTAACTAAGTAATGTAACTAATTACTTTTTTTAGAAGTAACTAGTAATTTGTAACTAATTACATTTTCAAAGTAACTTACCCAACACTGGATGGGAGTCAAAGCTTGGTGCAGCGAACTACTTTTGATACTGGGTCTGTGACGGATCACTCCTGATGACTGCAGAATTCCACTGCTTTGTCTAAAAGTATATTTTGGTAAACAGTCGAACAAAATAACTGTAACTGCTGCAGCACAAGTCTGTTGTGTGGATACAGTCACTGGTTTTCCAGCTCTTGCTTCATGTAAAGAAACCA